AAAATACTATGGTTTTCATTATAGAAATCGTGTATTTTCTTGTTTAGGTTAATTCTCAAGTATTTAATTCTAGTTTCTATTGTAAATGGCGTTTTTTTTCCTAATTTCTTTCTCAGTTCATTATTGGTATATAGGAACCCTGTTGGTTTTTACATGTTGATTGTGTATCCTGATATACTACTGAATTTGGTTATTAATTTTCTGAGTCTTTTGATAGAATTCTTGGATCTTCTATGTAAACGAACATAGCAACTGGAAATAATAATTTAACTTTTTGCCTTTCCTACACATAAATTTTATTCTTTTTTCTTACCTGATCATTTAGCTAACATTTCCTCTACTGTGTTGAACAAAAGTAGTGACAGCAGACATTCTGATCTTGTTTCTGATTTTGGAGTGTAAGCTTTTAGCCTTTCCCCATTTAATATATTGACAGTAGGATTGTCATAAATGACTTTTAACATTGAGATAAGGTCCTTGTGTACCTATCTAAGGTATTTATGAATGAATGTTGGATTTTTTCAAATATTTTTGTGTATCTGTTGAGATGATCACGTGATTTTTGGCCTTGCTTCTGCTTATTTGATGTATTACATTTATTGATTTACATATGTTGAACCATCTTGGCATCCTGGGATGAATCCTACTTGGTCATAATGTGCAGTATTTTTTATATTTGTTGCATTCTGTTTGCCAGTATCTTACTGAGGATTTTTGTGTCTATGTTCATTAAAGAGATTGGGCTATAGTTCCTTTTTTGAATTGGCTTCATGTCTGGATTTGGAGCCAGGGTAATGCAAACTTCCAGGTATGACTTTGGAAGTACTCTGTCCCCTTCAATTTTCTTAGAGTTTGAGTCAGATTCACAACAGACCTTCCCTGAAGTTCTTATGGAATCGAGTTCTGGACTTTACTTATTTGGTAGTTTCTTTTGTTTAACATAGTATACTTAAAGCTTGTATTTGTTTTGGGGCCTCTCTGTGGCTTTGAGGCATCTCAAGTTTATAAACTGAGGACACAGAATATAGAACCTATTTCTTAGCAACAAATTTAAAGTCTTACTAGGGCAGTTGAACAGCATATGCCAAGCAGTTAGTCTGTAGTGGGTGGGAAACTCTTGGCGCTAAGGGAAGATGCACAGATTTTTTTTTTTTCCTTTTTAGAAAAGCATTCATTCAAATGGACTCTGAAAATTCTGTTAAAATTGCTACTGATAGGTTATGCTATCCCTTTTTCTGACATGGAAATACCTTCATAAGACTTTGAGTCTCTTAAGCCAGAAATCCCCATACTGTAGCTATTTGAGGTACTTTCTAGGTCTTTCCATATATGTGGGGCATTCTGTTGCCTTTCTATGGAACATGAGCCTCATTCTTGTACCTCTAGCCTAGAGAGTTCAATAGTCTCACCTTCCTGCCTCTCTCGTCTCATGCTAAAATCTACCTGGTAGGCCTTAGTGCTTGCTTAGAACCTTCACGAGCTGCCCACTGTCCAAAAAGTGAATTCTAAGTTTCCTAAGATGGTATATGTGGTGTTCACCATTCTCTGTTTCACACGCTATACCCTTAGAAACTCAACTTGGCATTTTCTCCACAAACCTGACATCCTTGTGAATACTGTTTCCCTTACTTAGCAAGCTCTTCACATCCTGATTGCTTAGTTTTTGCCCACGAAGTTCTCTCCAGGTAGCACTGATTTCTTAAAGACCTTTCCCACCTTCTTTATATTACTGAGACTTATTGGCTTGCTTGCATCGTAACGTTGGCCACTACCATGTATTATTGCTAGTTCAGGCTTTGTCATCAGATACAGATGACCAATGTGACAGTAACTGCAGTTTTCTAGGCCCCTATTTACCAGCAAGTAAAGTTAGATCATGCACCATCATTAGGTACATAAAATAAATGTCTTCAAAAGTTTCTCTGTATCATGACACACACAATTAAAAGGCCTTTTTTGAAAACTAAAAATGGGAATCCCATTTGTCCCAGTTATTCCACTACTAGGTATCCTCTCAAAAGAGAGTTAAAGTCATCATAATACAATGATACATGCATACGTGCTATAAAGCAGCACAATTTATTGTAACTAAATCTTGGAAATGACCTATGTGTCTGCCAACAAATGAATAAAGAAAATGTGGTGCTAATACACAGTGAAGTATCACTCTGCCATAAGGAAGGATAAACTTGAGGCATTTACACAAAATGAATGCACCTTAAGATTGTAATGTCAAGAGAAATAAATCAGACACGTGAGCTTAAATATCATGGTTTGTCTTATATGAGAAACTCAAAATATAAATAAAGAGCAAAATAAAAGACAGATAGTAGGAAGTAGGGAGATCTTTCTCAAATAAGGGGATTAAGAGATGGAGGGAAGGAGAAGAAAAGACGATGGAAAAAAGAACTGAAAAAGATGGAAATAATGCTTTTGTAAATGGATATAGAACCAAGAGTCGGGAGGAGCAGGGAAGAGTGGGAGGAGTAGGGGACCAAAAGGGAGGATTAAGACGTGTTAGGTACACGTACCAACTTCACATGATAACTGTAATCGTTAAGTACCACAAACATGTACTAATAAAAATAAATAAAGGTATAAATCTAATTGATATAAGGGGAAGAAACTCCCAATCTGATATCCAATATGAATTCTTGTTCTCTAAAATCAAGGAACGAATTCTAGGAACAGCAGAGGTTAAAAACAGAATATATTTACTAGTGAAACAAAACTATCTTGAGAGAGAGACAGAAGGGGTCCCAAGTGAGTTGCCCAGGCCTTTGCCTTTTTTAGGGAATTTTATAAGGTAAAACTACAAGGTGAAGCAGGTCCAAGGTAAAGAAAAATTGGAAATCACAAGGTAGGCATGAGGTGGGACAAAGCTATGGCCCAACAGTAACATTATAATTGTCCAGGTAATACTGATTAAATCAGGGTCAAATAAGGAAACAAGTTACATTGACAAGTGGGCATGAATACAGAGCAGGCTTTTCCTGGAGGGGGTGAGGTAGTGGCTCTTCCTGGCTTTCCCAAGATAATGGAGACCTATTTAGAATATCAGTCACTGTTGTCTATCCTTAGAAGTATGTTGGCTGCGTTCCTTTAATCATTTGTCTTGAGGTCTAGCCCTCAGCAGACATATCTGTGTCTGCCCCACAGTTGCAATGCATTACATCTTCTGCATTGACATATAATATTTCTACCTAACTTAGCTGTCTATAATGTAATTAGGAACTTTTTTAAAAAGGCATTTTTGGAATGCATTCACCATTTCTATAATTGTTCACACAGCTCTGAATTTTCTTTTTTAATTTCTCACTTTATATTATATCATTAATTTACCTAATTTTATTTTAATATTTTGAGTTACTGAGCTCCAGTTTTCCAAACTCCCAAATCCTTGAAAAGTGATATTAATACTCAGCTAGAAAGATCCTGCTCATGATGAAAAAGATATGGGACTTAGATATCTATGTTACACAATGCATTGACAGTTTTCTCTGTATAGAGCCATATTATATTTTAGGCTTTGTGAACCATATGGCTGGTGTCAAAGCCACTCAACTCTGCAGTTACAGCATTTAAAATAGCCATAATTAATAAGCAAACACTTGAGAATTGACAAGATCTCAATAAAACATCCCCTGCACAAATGACCAGTTCAGGGCCACAGTTTGCCTGGAGACTTATTTCAGTGGTAGGAGACTTTTAGATTCTGTTTCAGGTACAGAAACATTTTTCAGCTAGGGAAATGGTTCTCTGGTACATAGTTTGAAGACCACTTAACCACACTATGCGATGCAATTTGTCATACACTGAAAGAATGGGATTATATAAAGCTCCATTTGCTTTCTTTACAATACTCAAAGCCCAGCATATTACAAGTTACCTCCCAAGTAAACCTGAAATTTCTGTATGGTGCTCTGACACTAAATGAGAGCTATAAAAGTATTTTCAGGCTCTATATCAGTGACACAACTCTTAGGAAATATCCCACAGTAAGACCCCCAGAAAATGAAATCAGCATGTTTAGTGCTATTTAGGATAGCAACATTCATTAACATTAAAAATTTACAGCAATTCAGTTGAGAAATAGAACAGTAACATGAAGGATTTCATTTTAGGTGGTAATTGTGTAAAGTATATTGATTCACGGAAATGTGCACATTGAAAATTCCAAGTGAAAAAAGTCCTGTACAAAAGTTACATCTACTTGATCTTAAATGTGGAAAAATCAGCATATATGAATCCCAGAGTGGCCAGGCACACCAACGAGCCACTGACTGAGTGTAGTGAGTGCAGGAAAGAGTACCAAGAACTTAACAGAAGACTGACCACATTTGAACTTTCAGGTCATTGTAAGGAATTGTATTTCATTGTGAATAATGGGAATGTATTGGATAATTCTGAGCCTTGGAAAGATGGTCAGGTTTGCATTAAAATAATTCCTGCTGTTATGAATACACAGCAGATGCAGGGAGGATTTTAGGAGGCAATGACAATAAGCCAGGTAAGAGACAAGGAGCATCTTACTCCCGCTGAGAGGACAATGGGAAGGCCAGACGTGGGAGGAGCCAGGGTCCCTATGTCAGAAGCTACCCACCTCCAAGGAGGGGGAACTCGCTCCCGGGCCATTGCTTCATCCCTGGGAGATGGTGTCAAGAGCCCAATAGGTGCCTGATTTAGGTTAGTTAAATGTTAGAAAACATGACAATGAATGTGAAACCAAATCTGTCTCCTGGCCCCCCCTGCTACAATACGCTCTCACCACTACTCTTGCTGTCATTTTCCATTCTCTGATTTTTATTTAAGAATTAGCATTCCATCATCTGTTAACATATTAAGAGTTCTTCGGTTTTCACTGACCTACAATAAGTTTAGAGTGATAGAAATGAGTCTGTTCACCATTTTTTATCTCAACCTTTATGTACTAAAAGTACTATCATTGCCTTTTACTATTAAAAAACTTAAGATTGTAACCAAATGTAATTTTCTTTTAGGGAACAACTTAATTCTTTATTGAATACCTATAACATTTTTTATGAGAACCAGAAAAATCTGCATATTTTATGTGAACAGGTAAGCTCACCAAAGAAATTCAAGATGCTCTGAGTCACAGGGGAGAAAAATTCAATATTTCTCCTCTACGGAAGAGTCAGGATGAGTTAGAATCCATATAGCACAAGGATCAGGGATAAGTAGGTGAAGATTCAGCTGGATTCTGGGTTTCATTTTTAGATGGTATCACAAAATATCAGTCTTGGAACATCTGTGGCTTTCTAAACATTGTTGAGATCAGAAGGCCTTTTAAAATAATTTTACTGACATATTTTCTTTCCACTTTAAAAGGAAAATTTAAACATGTTTTGAAGAGCAATTTCAGCAGAAACCTGTCCAAATAAATTCCTACAAAGGAAACAGGATGTGTAGGGAAGGATGTTCATTGTGGTATCATTTGTAATGGAGAAAATGTGAAGATATTTTAAGCCTCTATTTATTAATAGGGATTTTTAAATAAATCATGATGTGTCTGTAGCATAAATGAGTTATATTGCAATTAATATTTTTGTATCATAATAAGAACAAATTTTAAATTGTTTAAAAATAGTTCTGGAAGTTTCTGAAGCTAGAAAGTGTTTTTATGGGATCAGCTGCCGTTACCCTTGGTTTTCCTGCCTTCCATTCTCTTTTCCTTCATTTTTTATTTTAATTTTAAAGCTTTGTTCTCCACAGATACCTTCACTCAGTCTTGTATGACAAGTGTGACTCACTTCATATATTTACAGTATCTTTCTGGTTCCAGTAAGCATTAGAATTTTATACTCCTGATTTAAATCTTCAAGTTTGATGGCACAGTATGGAATTTAGACTACCATGAATTGGCTTCAGGCTGCGAATTGGAAGTGAGGATATTTACAAAGCACTGTAGCTTTTACTACTGAATTTGAATCATTTAGTATACTAAATAAAATAGTCTCTTTATAAAGAAATGTACCTAATTTTATATCATCCTAGACTTGCCAGCCAAAGAAATAACAACAGTATTTATTGAATGCTTACTGAATGCCAGGTGCTACAAATCAGGGGTTATTATGATGTCCATTTTGTAAATTAGGAAGCCCAGGTTAGGTGGTCACAGCTAGGAAGTAACACAGCCAGAGTTCAAATAAAGGTCTGACTCGAGTCTGGATTTTCACTATGCTTTCTAATGAGAATAGAGTCATTTATGTTACCTGAAAATTGACTTTTCATAGGAAGAATGGGTACCAGATGATTGACATATGACTTTTCTTAGTTTCTAAAATGTGTATAAGAATAAACATTAATAACATTTTATGTATAAAAGAGATAACTGGATTAAACTATATGTTCTCTATCTATATAGAACTAAATATATCTCCAGTAAAAATATATATTCCTGTTTGACTTTTTTCCCTGTATTTTTCCTTCTGTTGTTATACTATTTCTAATTTAGAAATAATTATTCAGATGCTTTTGATTTTTCATAAGTATCATCATTTCTATAATATTTTGCATTTTAGTGTTTGTTCACATAATTTTCCTTGTTCCACATTAACTTTGAGCTAAACTCTTCCTACTTGCTCATTTAAAAATGAGTAAATAGCTGCCAAGTTTCTCAATAGCTGTTTATTCTGATTTTAATTAGGTACAGTTTTAAGCCTGCTGTAATTTTCAATGAAACAGAATTAAAGCATCAAAATTTCACTTAATTGAGAATCACGGAGGTCAGAAAGCATTTTTATATAGTATGCCCTTTTTTGGAAATGACATTACAATATGACTTGCTCTTTTTGCCAAGTGTAGGTATTTCTGACAATAAAAGAATGTTTCAAAAATATATCTATTTTACAGGTAAATTAAGAAGCCAGACAATTTCCCCTGAAAATTTTCTAACATACTATCATTTCTTATGGACCTACTTTCTACATCTTCAGCTAAAACATGTATCTCCTCTAAGGATTGATTACAAGAACATCATGAAGACTGTTGGTTTCTTCCTTAGACTAAAGATGGGAAACTAATCCTTGAAGGAATGCTGGACATTTTTTGGGGAGTAAAACGTCCTATACAGCTGAAGATACAAGATGAAAAGCAGACCTCTTCTTCTACCACACTGAAGTTACCAGATGCTTTTTCCACCAAAGGGTGAGTTATTTTCATGCTTTTATTCTTCCGATGGTCTTCCTATTTCCTCTAATTGCATGTGCTCTTACAGAAGGGGAGCAGTGTTTGCATATAAATGCTTACACATACACACAGGCTCATATAGTCTTCCAGCAACCCCATGAATTAGGTGTCTGAAACCCCTGGCTCTTTGAGGCCAGGTAGTTTGTGCCAGGTACCATGCAGCAGAATCACATTGAACCTCCATTTTCTAGGATCCACAGCCAGTGCTCTCCCCTCTTCTGCTGCACAACTTCTCTCCTGAAAGTCTGCACTGTTTCCCTGATAGACAAACTGTAAAGGTAAAACTGGATTAGCTGTGACCTGTCCTCCCAAAAAATGGGTGAATTTAAATTTCCACCTCTCCTTGGAACCAAGGACTATCCCTGCTTCTGGAAGAGAGACATTATGCTCCACCTATTCAAGAGGGCAAAGCAAAGTACATATGAATTGAAGTGTGCAGGATAGCTTTCTTATAGATTGTGCAGCTAGCTGTTCATGATATCCAGGTTGAGCTTCTAAATTACCCCTTGCCAATTTTCTGAAAAATCAGTAAAAATTCCTAGCAAGAGTCATATTTATAAAACTTCTGTTTCTCTTTTTCTTTTCTCACTTTTGAACCCTAGCTTTTCAGTTCACCTCCCTGTGTCCGTGCTTTGAGGTGCTCAGCCTCCTCTTCTTACCTTCTGCCTTCCATCTGTAACTGCATGAGTGCAGGTTGTCGGAGCGTGGATGGACACAGAGCAGTCCAGTCAGATCTTGCGCCACAACTAAAGAAACCCAGGTATTACTTTGATGGAAGTCCATTTTCCTTTGGAGAAGGAAACCCCACTGTGGTTTTGACCTTGCTAGTATTGCTTAAACATTATGTTCCAGCAACACTGAATGTTTTGAAATTCTCTAGCACATCCTACAGTTTCTTACTTATGTGACTGCTTGGAAATCTGTCTGCTTCTCCATAACCATTACCTGACTTAACTAATCCTTTAAGACTCAGGTCAGGTAACAAATTCTTCCAAATGCTTTTTATGGACCCGCAGTCCGTACTAACTACACTGACAACCCGGAGTATGCAGTGCATCCTACTTTCACCCACCTTTCCACCCCTTTGCAGAGTGGCCCTCTAGATGGCAAGAAACACAACTTGAATAATCGTTGCATCCCAGTGCAAGAGGGGCTAAAAGTATAGTATCAAGTGAGGTCCCAGACACCTGAGATGAAGGTACTTCTGCTTTTGGGAGCAGTTGTCTTTCTATCTGTCACTCTGACTAGGCTTCTCTCCAGTGTAAGGATGTTTGATGGACATAGGCTCCAATACTTAAAATAGTACAGAAGGGAGCAGTAGTCCTGGGCAGCCTGATAAAGCCCTGCCTGCACCTCTTTCAGATGCTAGGTGACTAATACAGATAATGCCTTGAATTGTGAGGACTGTAATGTCAAGGGAGCAATTGCATGCACCTTGCTTTTTAAAAACTGTATAGGACATGAATTCACAAATTTAGTTATCATACTTCAAATTATCCAAGAACTCATGGCAAAATTCTACGAACAGCCAGCTCCTTTTGATTTATCTTAACTTACTGATATATAAAAATTTAATAAATATTCAGAATTAAAGGGAGATGTCAAAGAGATGGAAAGAAGAAACTTACAATATCATATTAAACCATAATTATTCTCTATGGATTTCCTCACTTTTTAAATTTCTCAGTCAGTTTGTTCCCACTAATCCTGAATTTTGGGGTGAATTTCAAGAGACCAGGTACGAGGGCTGGGGATTTATCTCAGTGGCATAAGCGCCTGCCTTGTAAGCACGCAGTCGTGAGTTTGATCCCCGGTACAAAAAAAAAAAAAGAGAGAGAGAGAAAGAGACTAGGTGGGCAAAGTAATATTAATGCCTCTCCATATACTGTCACAGATAATAAAATATTATCCTCATAATGTACCTTCTATATAGCCTATTTATGTGTTTCATTGTTTATCAGAAATTTCTGGAAAATAAACAGGGGTTATCTCTTGTTTAAAGTTATGAAAGTATTACCCAGAAAACTGTCAGCCTGCCCTTTATCATAGTAACAAGACATATTAAGAAAATATTTGAGCTGTACTTGTGCAGCATATCAGATCTTTCTACAGGGCAAGAATTTGAAGAAAAACTCTTCTTATACATACACACATGCACACAAAGAGACAGATATGCAACACACACACACACACACACACACACACACACACATACACACAAGCATGATTCAATTTAGTTGTAAAAATTACTCAACAATACTTGGTGAAAGCCAGCTGAACATTCAAGCTGGAAGGCATGACATAATTTGGGATGGCTTTTCCCTGACCTCTGATTCTCTAATGGAATGCACAGCCATCTAAGTTACTATTTCTATCAATCCAATCTTAGACATCCTTATTCTAGTTACTACCTTAAAGTAACTTTTCACTTAAATTCTGGGTCTCTACTAAATTGTATAAAGAAATTGACTCTATCTTTATGCTAACTCTCTCTCATGCTCCTTTCTCCATACTTTTGCTACCTGTGGGAAGAACTGAACACCTGTGTTGTTGCTCCAGAGGAAACTACGTTGTCAGAGATGGAGGCATTGTGTACTCCATGGCAGGAGGGCTGAGCCACGTATCTTTCAGACCACCCTTTGAGAGACTCATCAGTCTTGTGTTAGTTTATTTAAGTATGTTAGAAATGAGTCACACTGAAGAGGTATCAGCTGAATGTGAGTTATAGAGGCTTAAAAATATATCAGTTCACTTGAGCTAAAACCACTTGCAATTCTTTGTTCAGATGACTATATGGATACTATTTTGACCTCTGATATTGGGACCTTTTTTCATTAAAAAAGAGGAAAATCCTAGCTACAATGGGACTGTTTTTGCTTGCACTATTTTTCATTTCTATGTCTAATATATTCTCAAAGTTAGCATTGTCATTCTTTGGACAAATGTTGTTTTAGATCTAAGTTGTCCCGCACAGTCTCATGTGGAAGGAAACTGGGTCATGAAGGCATCATAGGTGATTGCTGTAAAGGGGTGGGGTCTGGTCAGAAGCAGCAGGGCACTGTGGGCCCAACACAGAAGGATGTTTCTCTCTTCCTGGCTCCTCCCTTGTTTGTCTGCTTCACTGCTGCCATCAGGTGAGCAGCTAACCCTCTGCCATGCTGCCCTGCCTCGGAGCCAGCTGACTGTGACTGAAACCTCGGCAAACTGTGAGCCAAAATAAGCCTTTCCTCTTGTAAGTTATTGGTGCTGGGTGTTTTATTCCAGTGGACAAAGTGATTAAAACAAGTCATGGTGGAATGAGATAGAGAGCAGTAACAGCTGAGAATTTCAGAACTATCTTTTCTTATGGTATGGGTGAGGGAAGTGGCTGTGTTCTATTTGTCTGTCAAATTTCTACCTGTATTTTGTTTTGCAAATCATCAGACTCCTTCATAGGGTTTAAATATGCAAATGGTATACATGCTGAACAATACTGTATTCAATTTTAAAGTTCCAACCAGTTCTGTCTTGAAAACTCGGACAACTGCCAAAGAGCCGAGTAATGTTCAGAGCAGTATGGAACAGCACTCACATCACACCATCCAGAGCTCAAAAGTAGTCTTTTCAGCTACAGATAGTATAAGGGACCAAATCCTGAATGATCTGGCCTTGTTAGATCACTTATGTTTGTACAGTGCCATTAAACTATCAGATAGCGAGGAAGACATCTGTCTAGTTTCCCAGAGTCACTAAGAATTTGTCCCATGCATCAGTGCTCCCACACTCATGGCAGCCCTCACATTGCTGATATAAAATAGCATTAGGGGGCTCTTTGATTTCTGTTATTGGTGTTATGTCTTTTCTGTCATTGCTAACACCTTATCATCATTACATCTGACCCTTTTTGATTGTTAGTCAGCTATGGATTATGGTAATATTCATATATACCATAAGAATAATTTGGGTCTGAGGAGTTCTTTGAGTTAAGCCATTACATATAGTTATATTTATTTTAGTTGGATAGTAAAGCTTGCTGGAAAATTTCTTAACAAATATATTAGGATCCATTTCCTATGGCTATTGTGAGGAGCAAATGATATAACAGCTATAAAAGAGTTGAAAAGAATTCAAAGGTCAAGGGGAAAGTATACTTTTTTTTCAAATTCACCACTTACTAGTATTAATAAACATTTTTTAATACTAATGACATTCAAGTAGAGTTAACACCAAAAATTCCTATGGATGACTTTTTTGGTCATTAAGCAGTTCTAAGGAAGAGACCTAGTGGGACTGACTGCTCCAGTAAATACTAGCACCCATTTGTTGAGAGAGATCCAGTAATGAGTGGGATCCCACTTGGGAGTGAGCCCTTCATGAAACGTATACAGATAATGGTGATTATTGTCAAGAAAATGAAGACAAGAATATCATAATAATTTTTAAAATACATACTTGTTCAGATCTCTGTTTGAAGATTTTTACACAAACTAACTCATTTAATCTTTACAACCACCTTACCCTATCTCATCATCATTCCTGTCTTACATATGCGGACATTGAAGCCAAGAGAGGATTCGTAACTCATTTCAGGCTAGATAAACAAAAGAAATATGAGTATTATCCTGCTGTAAAAATAAGCAGTTGTCTGGTTTCATTTATTCTTCACACTAGAATGTGTTGAAAATTGCTAGACTTCTTTATGAAATCACAAGTTTCTAGTGTAGACATTTCTCTTATTTTTTCCTATTTTATAAATTGCATTCATTGAGGGCTTTTAAATAGCCACAACAGGCCTGGGGATTTAGCTCAGGGGCTGGGGATTTTGCTCAGTGGCGTAAGTGTCTGTTCAGCAAGTGTAAAGTCATGAGTTTGATCCCTGGTACCAAAAAAAAAAAAAAAGCTGCAGCATCTATTTTAGAGCTTCAAATTTAATAACACTTCCTATAATATATTAGTGGACACTTATGACTAAATTGTCCTCAGGGTCTTGTGCAACGTTTTTAAAACAATGGATCATATTGGCTCCTACCAATTGATTCACATATACGTTTTATAGAACCTATATAACTTTGTTTCAAGTTGGACATGAATTATTATACTGTCAAGATATATTCCCCAAAAGCATGGAAGTATCTAAATCACATTACTGATTCTTGCAGTATAAATATAATTTTAATAATATCACAAAATTTTTAAAAAGACAAATAATATCACAAAATTGTGTAACTTTGGATAATATGTCTACCAAAATTTACATCTACTATACTAATACTGTAAATCTGGAAATTGAAATTGGAATATATGGTCTTTACCTCAATATGATAAAGGCCATCTATGACAAACCAACAGCCAGTATCATACTAAAGGCCAAAAACTGAAGGCCTTTTACCTTAAAATCAGGCACAAGACAAGGATGTCTCTTATCACCGCTCCTATTTAATATAGTACTGGAAATACTAGCCAGAGAAATTAGACAAGAGAGAGAAATAAAAGGGGTGGAGATAGGAAAAGAAGAAGTTAAATTATCATTATTTGCAGATGAAATGATACTCTCCATAGAAGAACCCCAAAACTCCATTGAAAGATTCCTACATAAAATAAATAAATTCAGCAATGTAGCTGGATACAAAAATCAATAAAATATTCAAAAATCAATAGCGTTCCTATACACTAACAACAAAATCACTGGCAGAGAAATAAGAGGAGCCATACCCTTCACACTAGCAACCAAAAAAATGAAATATTTAGAAATTATTCTCACGAAAGAAGTGAAAGATCTATACAGGGAAAATTATAATACACTGAAAAAAGAAATTAAAGAGGCTCTCAGAAAATGGAAAGACATCCCTTGCTCATGAATAGGAAGAATAAATATTGTGATGGCCATTCTCCCAAACTGCAGTACAGATTCAGAAATAACATCAATATACCTCATTTATCCCAAGAAATCACTCCTAAAGTTCACCTGGAACCAAAAGAGACCTAGAATAGCAAAGGCAGTTCTAAGCAGCAAAGGCAAGGCAGGAGGCATCACAATCCCTGACTAGAAGTTATACTACAAAGCAACTGTAGTAAAATCAACATGGTACTGGAATCAAAACAGAGCCAAAGATCAATGGAATAGATTAGAAGGTACAACCACAACTACAAACACACTCAACGACCTTATCTTTGATAAAGGGGCCAAACATGTTCATTGGAAGAACGACAGTCTCTTTTAATAAATGGTATTGGAAAAACTGGCTGTCCATCTGCCGAAAACTAAAAATAGACCCATGCCTGTCACCATGTACTAAATTAAAATCTAAATGGATCAAAGATCTGAATATTAAAATGGAAACAGTCTATTGGAAGACAAATTGGGTAAAAACCTTGAAGACATAGGGGTAGGTAAAAAATTCATGAACAGAAATCAAACTGCATGGGAAATACTTCCCAGAATGAATAATTGGGATCACATCTTATTAAAAAGTTTCTGCATGTCAAAAGAAATCTCCAACATAATGAAAAGAAAACCCACAAACTGGGAAAAAAAACCTTAGTGAACTGTCCCTCAGACAGAGGACTTCTGTCTAAAATGTATAAAGAACTAAAAAAAAATCAGACCCCCAAAATGCAAAGATCCACCCAAAAATGGGCATCTGAGATGAATACACATTTCTCAGATGAAGAAATACAAATGGCAAATAAAGTACATGAAAAAATGTTCATCATCATTACTCATTAGAGAAATGTGAATTAAAACAACACTGAGATTCCATCTCACTCCTGAAATAAAGACCAGGATCAAGAAAAATACCAACAAATGCTGGAGAGGCTGTGGGGAAAAAGGAACTCTCCTGCACTGTTGGTGGGAGTGTAGACTGGTGCAGCCATTGTGGAGGTCAGTCTGCAGATTTCTCAAAAAGCTGGGATTGGAAGTCCCATTTGTTCCTGCTATTCCACTTCTAGGCATATTCCTAGAAGAACTGAAAACTTCATACCACAGTGATATATGTGTACCCATGTTTATAGCAGCACGAATTGTAATAGCCAGATCTTGGAAACAACCTAACTGTCCATCAACTGAGAAATGGATAAAAAAAAAGTTGGGATATTTTTATATAATGGAGTAGTACTCAGCTATAAAGAATGATCACGTTGAGATATTTATAAATAAGTGGACGCAGTTTGAGACCATACTCATAAGCGAAATAAATCAAACTCATGTGTATAAATACCAAATCTTTCCCTAGTGTAAGAAATGGTAAGAATACATAAAAGTATGTGGTAATCATGATTCCCCATTATATTCCTTTGAAGCCTTATAATGTTTTCATTCATTAGTTGGAATGGTTTTATTCTGGGTTGTTTAATTTTATTGTCTGTGACAGTATGAACAGCTATTTTGAAGAAAAGAAGACATTATAATAGCGAGTGCTGGATTTAATATCTTGTTTTGAGGTCCCACCAAGCTTTCTGTCTCCATCAGTTTTATCATGTTGTATCTTATTGGATTTATTATATGTGATAGTATAAACAAAATTTTTATAGACAAGGAGATAATATAGTAACCATTGTTTGTTTTCTGTTAGTTGGTTCTGAATACCCTGTAACACTTTCACTTTTTAATGGTTTTACACTGTCTTGTTATGTTTGATACTATAGTATATGAAAGTATACTCTAATATTTCAAGGAAAGAGACACTATGGTAACTACTGTTATATCAGATTGTCTTGTGGTGAAACCCTATGTTACTTAAATTGTTCTGTTCTGACCTGTGTTGTTATGTCCTCTTTTATCTGAGTCTTTTTTTAAAATAAAACAATCTGAAATTTGCCATATGCTTTAATACAAATGGAATTGATGTTACTACCAAGATGTGTTACTTTTCAGAATGACACGCTGGGGAGAATTTGATGATCTTTATCATATAACTGACCTGGACAAAACCCTGATTGCAATGTCTGATACAAGGAATTCTCAGCATGGTTAGTATCAAAATCTTGTTAATGGGAAGACTTATTTTTTTAACCAGTATAAATCATAATTCCTAAATATCTGCCTTTTACACAGTACTACTTAATAAACTTTTGTTTTATATGCATACATCTTTTAAATCTCTTAGGAATACAGTCACTTAACTCATTATAGTGTCCATATGATGTTTAAGAACCTTATTTGGCTATATACAAATATATTAATTTTTTAAAAATTACATCATCACTTAGCTTTATTAGATTAGCTAGAATTAATGGTTTGAATATACTTTATATCCATAAAATTATTCAATATCTTTACAAGAATTGGTATACTTTATTATGCTCTTTAGTTTCATATGTTGGACCTACCTCTCTGACCTAATCCTGCCTCTTTTACAGAAGCTGAACGTTTTATGTAATATTTAAATATCACTGCTGCTCAGAAAGAAGCAGATACACTGATACCACTTTTATATTTGATAATTATTTCAATTTTCTTTAAAAGAGAAGTCTACTTAAATATAAAATTGTCTTAAGCTCTGCAGCATGTTACAATAGTTGTACTAGCAATGATGATGATAATAAGACTAATATGATTGGTAGCTGTAATTGACTAAAACACCACTCAGTGTTAAGAATGGTACTTTGTATTCTACATGAGTTTTTCCTATAATTCTTCTACATATCTATCAAAGGAGAAGCTGGTAGCTAAACTGTGGGTGGCACAGCGGGGTTCATGTACTAAACTGGGACTGTGATATTATCAAGAGAGATTCAGGCTTAATCAGGTATATTCTGCTGGCATTAGCTCATAAGTTCTTCTAATGTTTAATTCTGTTTTTGTTTCAAACAGTTCTCAATTATGCCTCTGTGCTGTCTCCATGAGCACTCAGACCCCACAACAAACATGATATTCCTCCAGAGTTCCTTCATCTTTGTCTTATGGGATCTTGACATCTTGTTATATACTGTGTAGGCTTTTTCATTTATCCCTGAAGATACCCATTATACCCAGAGGAATAACAAATCTTGGCACCAAAGATAAAAACTGATTTGTATTTAATTACCAGTGCTAGAGAAAGATGAAATATGATACTATTCTAGTTACAACAGAATAATATTTAAAATCCCAAAGTAAAATAGAACACAGATGCCACAAGATGGCCCTATTCTTACAGAAGAAAATACTTAATTGAAGAAATCAGAAAACGTACAGAAGGCAATTTTGAAACACATGGTAGCTCACCCATTTTCATTAAACACTCTGTGCCCACCTGAAGATAGCAGGTCAGGTCAATGCTGTACTATGATTGTAATATTCTAAAACCTGTTACAGAAATTGGGATGACACGGTAATCGAGTTTTGACTAGGAGTTTATGGATCATTGTTGAACACATATGCCCCAGTGGAAAAAATAGGATAGTGGTCAAGTAATGGGGAAAAATCATCACATCCCTGGAGTGTGTGAGAGAGAACAGTATGTATACTAGCAGACACTCGTACAAAGCATACTGCCACTCACAAAGTTGGGAACAAAATCACTTAAGGCTCTGCATACCACATAAATGATTTTGGCCCAATATTCAATTCTCAGAAAAGGTCCAATAACCTTGAAGCCAAAGTAAAACGAAGATCCTGATCTGATCCTATTACTTATAAACACTGTGTTTGTAAACAAGCTACATCAAATACTGTACTTAGCCTTGCCTGTGTGAGATCAGACTGATAGAATATCAGGTTTTTGCTAGCTGTAAGATTCTAAAAGTCTATACAACTTATCTCTCACCCCCAAGAAACTCAGATTGAAAGAATACTCAAACCCTAAACATAAGCTCATTGTGATCATTTCCTGAGACATAGTTCATTGGCAGAATTTGCTTTCCAGTAAATCTCAGACAAAGTTATATATAATATATATGAATATGGATATGTATTATCAAGTAGTAGACTGTAATGTTCTTAAACATCGTGACAATGGCAATAGTTCCAAAATTAATGAAAGTATACCTACCCAGGATGCAAGGAGATAAGCAGCCAAGTGATACTGGCTTTTAACTTTTATTCTTCCTAGACTATTTATCTTATCACAGCAGTACTCTAAAGCCATATGCAGATGAAGAGCCAGAATCCCCACTGCTCTATAGAACTATGAGTGAAGCTGCCCTGGTGAGAAAAAGAACAAAGCCTCCAGTGATGGACAGGAAAGATGAACAGATCCACAGAGCCTCCATTAATGGACACTTCTATAACCGTAAAGTGAGTCCCAATTCCACGAATGTGATCTAAATCATGTTTTTTGTACTAATGATACTGTATCACTCAGTTTAGTTTATAATTTAAAAGAGTAGTAACAGTGGTAGAATTTGTAGCACAAGCATTTTAGCTATCCTGTGTGTTTATATAATTTTAGATATTTTTTTCTTTCCCCTTCATTTTCCTTTTCCTCATTTTCCCTGAGATACTGTTTTTCCCCTTTGAGCAGATTCTTCTCTTTTCACTGTATTTATTGAGTTTTTTGTATCTTATGTAATCTTACTATTTCTTACACTAGGGAGACTATTTGGTATTTGCACATTGAGTTTATTTTTATTTATTTATTTTATTGAGTATGATCTTGCACCCATTTACTTCAATGTGATCATTCTTTATAGCAGAGTAATACTCCATTATATGAAAATACCGCATCCTTTTTATCCATTCCTCAGTTGATGGACACTTAGGTTGTTTCCAAGATCTGGCTATTACAAATTGTGCTGCTATAAACATGGGTGCACATATATCGCTGTGGTATAATATTTTTAGTTCTTCTGGGAATATTCCAAGAAATGGAATAGCTGGGTCAAATGGGACTTCCAATCCCAGCTTTTTGAGAAATCTGCAGACTGATGTCCACAATGGTTGCACCACTCTACACTCCCACCTACAGTGCAGAAGAGTTCCTTCTTCCCCACAGCCTCTCCAGCATTTGTTGTTGTTGGTTTTCTTGATCCTGGCCATTCTTTCAGGAGTGAGATGGAATCTCAATGTTGTTTTAAGTTGCATTTCTCTAATGACCAATGATGTTGAACCTGTTTTCCTGTATTTATTTACCATTCGTATTTCTTCATCTGAGAACTGTGTATTCATCTCAGATGCCCATTTTTGGAATGAGTCTTTGAATTTTGGGGATCTGATTTTTTTTAATTCTTTATATGTTTTGGACAGAAGTTCTTTGTCTGTAGGACAGTTCACCAAGATTTCTTCCCAATTTGTGGGTTTTCTTTTCACTGTGCTGGAAATTTCTTTCAACATGCAAAAACTCCTTAATAGGACATGATACCAATTGTTGATTCTGTGAAGTATTTCACATGGTCATGAATTCTCTACCTACTTCAAGATTTATATCTAGTTTGTCTTCCAACAAATTTAGTGTTTGTGTTTTAATATTTAGATCTTTGATCCATTTAGACTTTAGTTTAGTACATGGTGTTAGGCATGGATGTAATTTTAGTTTTCAGCATATGGAGAGTCAGTTTTTCCAGCACCGTTTATTGAAGAGACTTATCTTTCTTCCAGTGGACGTGTTTGGCCCCTTTTTCAAAGATAACATGGCTGAGTGTGTTTGCAGTTGTTGTATCTTCTATTCCATTGATCTTCAGGTTTGTTTGTATTCCAGTACCATGCTGATTTTATTACAGTAGCTTTGTAGTATAACTTCATGTCAGGGATTGTGATGCCTCCTGCCTTGCCTTTGTTGCTTAGAATTGCCTTTGCTATTCTAGGTCTCTTCTCATTCCAGAAGAATTTTAGGAGTGATTTCTCTAGATCTGTGAGGTTATGCTAGTGGCATTTTGATTGGGAGTGCATTAAATCTCTATAACAATTTTGGGAGAATGGCCATTTTCACAATATTTGTTCTTCCTATCCGTGAACAAGGGATGTTTTTTCATTTCCTGAGGTGCTCTTTTATTTTGTTTTTAGGGTATTATGATTTTCCGTGAGTAGATCTTTCACTTCTTTTGTGAGATTAATTCCCAGATATTTCATTTTGTTGGAGGCTATTGTGAAGGGTGTGGCTTCTCTTAGTTCTCTCTCAGTGGTTTTGTTGTTAGTGTATAGGAATGCTATTGATTTTTGAGTGTTGACTTTAGACGCAAAAATTCTCAATAAATTTTTGGCAAACAGGATGCAGCAAATCATGAAGAAGATTATACACCATGACCAAGTGGGATTCATCCCAGGAATGCAGGAATGGTTCAACATATGCACATCAATAAATGTAATCCACCACATCAGTAGAGCCAAAAATAACCCACATTTTCATTTCTATAGATGCAGAAAAAGCTTTTAATAAAGTCCAACACTTATTCATAATAAAAACCTTACAGAAAATTGGTATATATGTTCTTACCTCAATATGATAAAAGTCATCTATGACAAACCAACAACCAGCATCATATTAAATGGCCAAAAACTAAAAGCCTTTACTCTAAAATCAGGAACAAGACAAGGATGTCCATTATCACCATAGCTATTCAGTATAGTGCTGGAAATACCAGGCAGAGCAATTAGATAAGAGAGAGAAATAAAAGGAGTAAGAATAGGAAAAGAAGTTAAATTATCATTATTTGCAGATGATATGATACTCTACATAGAAGACCCCCAAAACCCCATTGAAAGACTCCTAGGTATAATAAACTCAGTAATGTAGCTGGATACAAAGTCAACACTTAAATGTGTTTCTTGTATACAGTATATCGATCCACTCTCCTTGTGTTTCTTTTTTTATTGATGAGTTGAGGCCACCTACATTAATGGTTACAACCAGCTTGCATTGGTTTGGCTCTGCCATGCTATCTTTCTGCTGTTGGCCCTCCACTTTTCCCTTTCATTCAGTTGCCTGTCCTGTTTGGTGATCCTCCTCTGCTGCTGTTCCTGGAACCGTGGTCATCTTTATGTCTTCCTAGAATATCCTTTAGCACTCTATGTAGGATTAGTTTGGTAGTCATGAATTCTTTCAGTTGTTCTTTGTCATGGAAGTATGTCGATGTCGCTTCTGGCCGGCAGGAAGGACACACGACAAAGTCTGGTAGTGGACAACCTTTTCTTTTTATTTTCCTTCTCCGTACAGCCTGCCCTGGGACCGCTCCCAACTGAAGCCTCCTTTGGTCCGCTCCCCGCGGCTCCTTTTGGGCTTCACTCCGAAGCCTCTATCGGTCCGCTCTCCGCGGCTCCTTTTGGGCTTCCACTTCCGGGCTTCTACCTGGCTTCTACTTCCGCCCAGGGGTGGCACCGGTATATATACGGGTACAGTGTCCAATCATGTTAAAGTAAGCAAGGCAAGCTGATTGGCTAACATCATCAGTTGCCAGGCAGACTGTATTGTTGAGCGGGTTGTTTACGTGGTAAGCAGGAAACTAACATATTCGATGGGAGGGGTAATCTACCTCAGGCTTTGCTCTTTACCACAGGCCGCACGTCCGCCAAGTAAGGCGAACTATCACAGACGCGGCTCCCAACAGAAGTATCTTATTTTGCCATCAATTTTGAAAGATAGTTTTTTAGTGTACATCACTCTGGGTTGGAATTTTTCTTTCAGAATTTGAAACACTTGACTCCAAAGTCATCTTGATTGGATGGTTTGTGTTGACAAGTCTACCATGATTCTGATTGATGTTCATTGTTAGGTGATCTGTCTCTTTTCTCTAACAGCTTTTAATATTCTATTCTTGTGCTCAATTTCTGGGGTCTTGATTATTACATGTCTGGGTGTAGATTTACTTTGGTTTTGGCTAGTTGGAGTTGTATATGCCTCACTTCTATGTATGCCAGATCCTTTTCCCATGTTTGGGAAATTTTCTGCTATTCCTTTTGTATATAGCCTTTTAATTTCACTTGTGTTGACCCCTGCCTCTTCGCTGATACCTATCAGTGTTATATTATGCTGCTTTGCATCATCTTGCAGGTGTTGAATTGTTATTTCCAGCTACCTTGTTATTTTTAAGAGATCTTTCCTTTTGGGATAGCTAGATGCAATACTATATTCAAGCTTTAAAAGTTGGTCTTCAGTCTCTTTCAAGTGGTTTTGCAGCTCTCAATGACTTTTAATTTCCTGGATCTCTCTTTGAATCTGTTTCATGCATTGTAATTCCTTTCTATATTGTTCATTCAATATTGCCATAATTTTCCTGTGCTGGCCCACGGGGATATGTTTGTCTGATCCTCCCAGTAGGTGGTGGGAGGCCTTCAGTGGTAGCCCTACATGGGGCTTACCTGGCTGCATGTCCCTGCTCCTGCTGGCTGCCCACAGGAAGGAGCCTTCTGCTGGTGGCATGCAGCAGCTGCTGGCTCTCTCTGCCTGTGCTGGCTGCCCTCAGGAAGGACCATTCTAGTGGCAGTTCCAGATTGTTTTCTTACACCAATGGCATATACATACCGTAAATCTGTATCTGTATCTACATCTATCTTTATTTATAGTGATCTCCAGCTCAAGGCTCATTAATCTAACACTGCAATGAACCACCCCAAAACTCAACATCTGTACATCTGTATCTACCCCCTTTATGCTGAGTTTTGAAACACTTGGAGATTTCTCATATAAGTGAAACATGGAAAAAAAATCTTTATTTCATATAATTTCTTCTTTGTAAATGCACATCTCATTACATTCTTTTTTAGTTCTATTTAATGAGTAAAAGTTTTCCTTTTTTATGCTGTGCCACACATAGTTGTGTTTCTCCCCAGATGAGTGTCATGAGGTATACACATACTATCAGCTACTTACCTGTGTTATTCACATTGTTTTTGTTACTTTGAACATATGATGGTTGTATCATAGAACTTAAAATTAATTCTATTTATCACTGTTATGAGAATTAATAGTTTAGAATATCTTTGGTATATAGTTAGGTTTATATTAAATCAATAATTGCTTGAGAGTTGTATGAAATCCTTTGCAACATTTCTATAATTCTATATTTTGCTTACTTTACATTCACGATACTATATTAGTTTGATAGAACTTTAAGAACTTACAAGAATTTTTTCCCTAGACATCAATTTTCACCCCAGCCTTTGGATCAGAAACTAAAGTCAGGATAAACAGTAACATGAGAACTGAAGAAGTAATCAAGCAACTTCTCAAAAAATTTAAGGTAATTGGACATAATTTAACTACAGGCAAATAATTTCACTCTTCTGAAAAGACCAGTAAACATGTGAATATAAATTGGGTGTCTGTTCTGAAACATTCTTCCCTGTATATTGCATGTTACTAAATATGCCTTGAGAAATCACATTATTGCCAGCAGGGCAGAGAAAGTCTCACATCTGCAGGTGAAAAATGAAGTGAGCAAACATAGATGCATAATATCAGTATCCTGTCTTTGAAAACATCAGATGAAAACAAAAACAAGAAAAACATGTTTGTTCATTTTTTTCCCATTGACAGATTGAGAACAGCCCTCAGGATTTTGCTCTTTACATTATTTTTGCGACAGGAGGTAAGGAAGTTTTATCACTCTTTGTGCCTGGCTCTTTGTGTGGTGGCCTGTGGGGTTGAAAGAAGAGCAAATCACCTCATTTTGTAGGAGGAAAGGAATGAAGGATCAGAGAAAGGGGAAAGAGTTTTTCACTGTTTAGGGCTGCTGAGGTAGAACCTAGGAACTCACATATCACACACATACTCTACCAATGAAATGGTTTTACAATGCTAATCATATTCCTCAATTTCAGAGAGATAGCCTAAAAATAAGGTACCCTCGAAGACAATTTGTATTTTTGTAATGCACTCTACCACTAAGCTATATCTATTGCTTGGAATACGTGTTTTTAATCATCGTGCCAGATGATGGTGCAGCGGGTTTATAAAGTGAGAGATTGTGCTTTGTAATATCAAGGCTGAAACAAACTAAGGCTACTAAACCAAGTTAACATTAGACCTAGAGGACAAAAGAGGAATCTAGGGCATAATAAGAGGAGTAAACTGTCAGGGTTCTTTATTGCTTTGTAAATGGTAGGAGAATTAAAGCAATGAACTCTGACTTCATAGAAACAACAGTTTGTAATATCAGTCTAACTGCAACGCTGTTGAGTTCCAGACCCTCACTTCGCTTTTTTCCTTGGATAAGTCCATCCAGGGTCTGAGAACAGTATTGATGAGGGAAGAAGTAAGGAGTGGAGAAGAGAGCATGAGGGAAGAAGATAAATAACAGGGCACTGTTTTGTAATACTTCATTTTGGTATAATGCAGTCCTAGATGTGAGACCACTTTGACAGAATACCAGTACTTCTGTAATGGGAGTATTTATATGAAAACTTTAGGGAATTTGAGTTCTGGGAATATGCTAAATTTTCTTTTTCTATCTCATTTTTATAGCTGAATGGATAAGGTGCACAGATGAATGAAATATGAGATATTAAAAATACTGAAAACAGTGTTATGTAATTTCAGGCATCTGACATCCATTCGGTCTTGGAACATTACCCTAGATAAAGGAGGAAAGATGAATGACCATCTTTTCTTTGAGAAGTAGTTTTAATTGTTTTTGTTTTATATCTTGTGTTTCAAATAAGCTAAAAATAATATAAATCATAAAACATTTTTTTCTTTTCTTTTCTACAATGATCTCTTGACTGTGGTTTATTCTTTTTATCTGCAGAGCAGAGACAGCTAAAGAAAACAGACGTTCCACTATTGCAGAGGCTCCTACAAGGACCATCCAGAAGCAATGCTCGCATTTTCCTTATGGATAAAGACACAGAAGAAATTAGTAGTGATGTATGGACCTCGTTGCCCCAAATCTTTCTTTTCCTCTGCTTCCTCACTCAGCACCTTTCATAAATGTTCTGCTTGATTTTTTTTTTTTACTTTTGTTTTTGTCTTTTTCAGGTGGCTCAGTACATTAACTTCCATTTTTCTTTCTTGGAATCCATTCTTGAAAGACTAAATGAGGAAGAGAAAAGAGAGATTCAAAGAACAATAACAAAGTAAGTCAAGACTGTACATCTGGGCATAGGTTCAATGCACAAAATTTGTTCAATTTTTAATACTCTTCCTCTCCTCATTTTCAGATTCAATACAGAAAAAGTCATTCTACTAAAGTGTCTTCAAAATAAACATCCAGTAAAAACAGAGACGACAGTTTAGCAGTACAAGCCTCTATTGCTAAATCACTTTAAAAATATTAGAAAGATTTTACCCTTTGGTGAATTCATAAAGCCTACAGTTGCATTCACATATATATGAACTTAAATCTATAGAAAACAGAATGCCAAAAGAGCTGATTTCTCTTTTAAGGGATAGGTTAAGTAGAGTTCATAACTGAACTAAAATGAGATTAATTTAGTTTCAGTAACTGAAAATATCTTTGTTATTGTGTATACCAAGTATCTTCTTAAAAATTTTTTATTTAAAGAGAAAAAAAGCAAAACAGAAAAGAGGGTAAAAATAATAACAGAATTTTAAAAAAATAAACAGTAAGAAATCATTAGATGATAAATTACATATCATCCTCTTAGAAATTGTTGTCCAGGTTACAAAATTAAAGCATATAAAGTGGACATTGAAACAGTGAGACTGCAAACAGTTCTGTTCAATGATCCAACAAAAACTTAGTAATATGATTATCAATCCTATACAGTCATATCCTTTACAGCACTTTCTTTTCCTCTCTCTTTTATAATAGCAATTATACATTTTGGGTTTTATTACTTCTACATTTCTTATTTTCACCAAGTATCTTTTATAATAAAAAACGTGCAATTAATCTGAATTCAGGTGGCATCTTCAGATATCATACAGTTTCAACCTCTTTTAGCTTGAACTTAAAAAGAACTGAAACATCATCGGCCAACTTGGAAGTGACCAGAAGCTAATGCTTCCAGATCTTCAAATAAACAAGAAGTACATTTCTTATACCATCAACTCTCTACTGGCAACATGTCACAGCTCTAGCATTTTCATAAAATCTGTGATTATGTATGGGTCGATGGCTTTGAATGTAATACTAGAGATATCTTTACCTTGGAAAAGAAAAGATGATGGGTTCAGTTAAGAAATGCAAATTGTAATTTTCTCAACCTTGATCCTTTTCTTTCATTTTTCTCTGTTCTGATGATCACTTTCAACATTATGATTAAGCCCTTTAAAATCAGTTTAATTCCTTTTATTTATCCAAATGAATATACCAGAGAGACTTAATACATTGCATCTGCTACAATAATGTGGCCACAGATAACTTTTCTTTTAATTTAAAGAAAAAAATTATTGAAGACCTGAAAAAAAATTCCTGAAAGATTGACTTTGCAGAAAACTGTGTCACGCAATGCATTGCATTAATCATGTTAAAATGTACATTAGAAACACATACAAAACCATGAAACGATTCACCATTCTTCAGCAACCTGAAGTGACCCCTCCTGAGTACCATCAGGAAGCAGTGGGAAGCATTCTCGCCAGATCAACAAGAGTCAACAAGGGTTTGTTCCTCGTCTTTCTCTTGTACAAATGATGTATTTTGGAGCAATTAGCGTGTGAGTTGATGTTTGTTTTGTTTGATTTTAAACAGATACCTTTTTGTTGATGTGTGAACACAGGGGATAAAGCAGAATTGTGCAGCTGTGCCTGGCAGGGCATTTGGAGTTCTGTCCTTCCAGCACCTTGATTTTCTACAGACATTTCTCAAGCACTTGAGTTCTGTTAAATTCACTTTTATTGTTGTTTTTGGGTTTTTTTTTTTTTTTTTTTTTTTTTTTTAGTCTTTTTCCTTTTTATCGGTACCAGGGGTCGAACTTATGACTGCCGGCTTGCAAGGCAGGCAAGTGCCGCTGAGCTAAATCCCTAGCCCCATTTCTTTTCTTGTTTGTTTGTTTGTTTGTTTTAAATTCACTTTTAAAAAGCACTGAAAGAACAAAGTTATGCTACACCTGTCATCTATGATTCTACTTATAAATCTATATGAAAATAAAATTTTATGCAATGTTCTTCTATTCTCTAAGCTATTTCCATTAGCATTTCTTCTAGGCATAGTATTACTTTGCTTGATCAAATTACAAGTACTGAAAAATAAGGTTGTATATACTAAATCCAGTTGAAAGATTAACTTATTGTTATTTCTGAGAAGGCATAATTTTTTATTTTAATTTTAAAGAGGATAAAACTAAAAGCAAAATAATAAGAACAATGTTGGACCTCAAACACAAGACAGTAGGAAATTAACAATAGTCACTATATTTGACATCGTTATCCTCCAAATAGTTGTTCAGATTACCAGACACAGGCATGCAAAGTTAATCAAACAATATAAGCATTAAGTTGTTCTTTACCTCAGTTGGTATCATTCCAAAAACTTCAGGTGTGTGGCTTCTAATCTATTCTATGTCTGTATTTTCCTGGACTTGTTCAGGATGAGATATAGCATTAAAAAAATCAAATATAAGCTCTAAATTGTCTGTTTCCTTCATTGCTATCATTGAGAAAGTTCAAGTGTGTGACCTCCAACTTCCCATGTTGACGTCTCCTGGATTCCTTCCGGGAGAGCTGCGGCTTTGTCACCACACCTCCTGTGTTCCTCCCCACCAGCTGGTTGTTGAGTCCTGGGTACTGGCTTTATGCACTGGCTACCCTCCCTGTGGCACGGGGGACTGGGCAAAGCTGAGGTTCCCAGGGTGGCTGAGAGGGGCAGGGAAGCAGCCCACTCATGTTCCTCAATGAGATAAGGCCTTGCCAGGGTTGTGACTTCTTCCCTGGCCCAACGCCTACACAATTATTATTAATATGTGAAATATTCTTAAGACAACACCATTACTTTTCAATGTTATCAAAATCTAAACTAGATAAAAGTAATATATAAAATGGCTTTTCCTATCCTAGAAAAATTTAGTAAAAGATGCTTGTCTTTTTTATCTTTCATCAATTGATTAATAAGGAAATCATTTCACATCACTAAAATAAGCAGATGGAATAGTTAAAATTCAGTTCATTTATAAAGAGTTTAAGATAGTGCCAGTTACCATCCATAAACGTGACAGAAGATTATTCTTTAATATACTGAAAGTCTACAAAATACATAATAAAAAGCCTTGCATGGGAATGGAGGAACATAAATAGTATGAAAAGAACAATTGTGGAAGAAGTGCAAATGGCTATGAAGTATATAAATAGTTGTATCTTCACATGATCAAATGTATTAGTCTGTGTCCAACCAATAGACACAAACTATGCACTAATTTTAACACATAACACATTATTCTAGTTGTCTTAGTTACTTTTTACTCATCGCTGACACAAAATACCTGGAGCCCAAAGTTAGGAAAGGAAAGGTTTATTTCTTACAGTTTTTTGGAGGTTTCAGTCCATACTCGGCTCCAAGACAGGGAGGCATGGCGGGGCCGCAGTTCATGGTGGCTGCAAACAGCAAAGCAGAAACCAGCAAAAGAGAGAGACATGCCTCCTTCCAGCCATTACACTGTATGCTGGCTCCACCCCTTTGTGGGTGTAGCCCTGACACCATCAATCCAAGCACTAGACAATGGACCAATCACAAATGCACAATGCAAACTCATGAGACCTGGAGGCCACAGACATAAACCATGACACTGGTATAAAATATAATTATGAAACTCAGGCATGGTGGCACACATCTATAGTCTTAGCTACTTGGAAAGCTATGGCAGGAGAACTGGAAATTGGAAGCTAGCCTGGGCAATATGGTGGGACCTTGGCTCAAAATAAAATTTTACAAGGGCTGGGGATATTGGTTCAGTGGTTACTCTTGTTTTGTATGTGCAAGATCCTGGGTTCAACCCTCAGTACTGCAAACGGAAAAAAAATTATTAGTTTATAGGGTTGAACTCATCTTTAAGGAGGCAAACCTGAAAAAGGATGAAACATTTTCAAATTCACTAGAGAGGGTGAGGTTGCAGCCCACTGGATAGAAATTTGCTCATTGTTCAGGTCAGAACTGCAACTTGCCAGTGTGCAGGAACAACCCTCAGGGGTATGGACTGCTGAGCGTGCAGGGGGACTTGGAACTTTGTTAACAATGGGCACAAAGGTCAGGGGCACTTCTCTGGGTGCTGCTGGACTAGGAGCCAGAAGGGCCTCTTGCAGGAATCTCGTGTAACCGTGCATGAGTTGAGCTCAGGCATCTTCGATGCTGCACTGGACAAATGTCAGGAAGATACAAGATGGCCCGGCACAAAGGCCCCTCTGTGAGCCTGCACCTTGCTGAGATGTTTGCAGACTGAAGCCACTGAAGCTAAGCAACAGTCCTGCACTGAGACTCCAGGTTGTACCAAAAAGTTGAAGAAGCAGACTGGGGAACAATTGCTAAAGAAAGATGCAGGCTACTGACACCTAGTACTGGAGAAACCACTCTGGGCAGAGTAATGGAGGAGACCATCCTGTCTGCAGGAGCTTGGCCCAGCTTCTCTGAGAATCCACTTTGCCTTTCCACAGTGTGATTCCTGTGCCCTCTGCTGACATTGTATCTGCATGACATTGTATCAGCTGCAAAGGAAACACTTAAAGGGCTATGTTCATTCTCAGACCCAGCGACAAACTGAATTTGGGGCTGAGAGACAACATAATTAGCATGTCAACAAACATGCTAGTCTTTTATTACCTACTCAACAAATAACAAGATAGATAGTCCAATAACTGGAAGAAGTATAAATACAAGTTGATACTTTTTTCTTATAGACTATAGTAAGTTTATAATTCCATTTGTAGATTCTTATCATAAGGAGATAATCATAGATGTAAAGGCATTTGGCAATTATATGTACCATACTGTTATTTATTGTGATAAAATGAAGTAAAATACCTTCATATTCAAAAAATAGGAAAAGGGGGTAAAGGAGGAAACTCAGAACATTATTAGAATTTTATCTCCTGAAGTTTTACGGTACTAAATTCTTATATATCTAAATAATATGTACATACATATCACAAAGTATATACTATCCTTAAAGATTTATATGTGTGTTTATATGTATGTACACATGAATTTTTAATGCGTGCACACATAAAACATGTTAAAAGTTGTTAGGTCTAGCTTGTAGAATTACGGTTGATTCATTTGTTTCCAATTTTACTATATCAACTGTTCTTTAATGAATGTGTTAGTTTTTTAAACTGGGAAGTAGACTGTGATTTAAAAGTTGTGAACAAAAGGAAAGGATAAGGAATCAAAAAATAATGGAATTTGGATGTGCTTTATACATGTACCCGCTCCACAGGAGGAATGTAAACATTATGTGCTACAGACATCTACAGAAAAAGTAAGGAGACCCAAGAGAGGGAGGAGGAGGGAGTGAAGGGAAAGGGTGAAAAACAGGATTGGGCCAAGTTATATACATGAACCAGCTTCCTACAGGGAAGATAAATACATACACCACACTCATGTATTAATGAACTTTTGTATGCAAGTACAGAATTCTACTATAGGTTAAAGAAAGTTCAAATGAATTACTCAAATGACACATTAATGTCACTTGTGGTAATTAAAAATATACCCATAAAATCTTTGATAGTCACCCTTTCAAATGATAGAGCCCACTCTTCATTGCCAGTTATATTCATGAGGTTCAATGTGATGTTATATGGATATAGTGTGAGATATGGAAAGGTACTTAATATATCATCACTTCATGTCCTCTTTTAATAGCTAGGGACTACTAACATACAGAGGAAAAGAAAGAGACTGAAGTTTTGCAGACTGGATCTCAAAGTCACTGGTTTCTTCCTTACTGCTTGTTCTTGGATCACTTGCTTTGGGGAAAACCAACTGCCAGGGGCTGAGCAGCCCTGAGAAATGTCCCATTGATGAGGCCTGAGATGCTCTACCAAAAGAACATGGATCTGGGACCATCCATCAGCAGCTCAAGGAGAGGCTGCCTTGGTAGTGCATCTTCTACCCTCTGTCAAGCTTTCAGGTGACTGCACTCCTGGCTAATCAACTTGATGCAACTTCATGAGAGACTCTGAGCCAGAAACCACAGGGCAACCACTCCTGGATCCCTCATCTTCGCAAACTATGTAAGAGAAATGTTTTTTGTAATGTGCTGCTAAATTTTAAGATAACTGCTTACACAGAGCTGATAACTAATACAATTTTTGAGGTAAAAATCTATTTCAGAGTAATCTTTATATAATACAAGCCAAGTTTTGTCATAAAACATTTTCCTTATTTTAGTTGGTACAAATATCAACAGTTAGATATGCAAATTAATATATTATGCTTATTAATGATAGAAAACCTATAATATTCATTGCACACTGGCTGTACTTTGTATTGTCTTATGTATAGTATGTGCTCAATAAAAATCAAATAAATTAATTAGTAAATGAATGATCTGAAATATTTTTTTACAAAATTCCCTTTACAAATACACCTTTTCACAAATGTGATCCAGTAGGCAAATATATTTTTTTAAAAATATGCTACATAGTTTTCCCTTAATATGGGAATGTATTTTATTATTCATGGCTCTATGAAAAATATTCACTTGGACAGTGTTGTAAATGCAGTCTGATTTCAGTGTACTCACATTGGTTTTATAACTGAAGGAAAAGGAATTCATTTGCAAGGCAGTTGATAAAATGGAAAAGTAGCAGGTGTAACTATTAGATTGAGATATATACATGAGAAAGAAAGGTGAGATAGAATCCAATTAGGGGAGGTTGGAACCCTTCAATGACATCCACTTGACCTCTAAGTAAATAATAACTCTTACTTGATTAAGCTTCTTGAAATTGTCAATATTTGACCATAAAGGCAGAAATTTTACTTCTAATACCACTTGGCATTTGCTAGACACTATTTTAAGTTCTTGTATGTAATGACTTAATACTCAATATAATCTCATAAAAGTTTCTTTTAAATCCATTTTATAGGAAAATGAGCCAAGAAACATTAAGAGATTTGTTTGAACTTCATAAAAGAAATGGAAATTGAGCCTATGGAACCAGAATCCAAACTCTTAATATCCATGATCTATACCCTTTCCCCATACTAGTTTCTTTCTATCTGGCATTATTTTACATGTTGTCTTAGTTACTTTTTGCTCGTCACTGAGACAAAATACCTGATGCCCAAAGTTAAGAAAGAAAAGGTTTATTTCTTACATTTTTTGGAAGTTTCAGTCCGTACTCAGTTGGCTCCAAGGCAGGGTGGTGTGGTGGAGCCACAGTTCAGGTGGCTGCAAACAGCAAGGCAGAAACCAGCAAGAGAGAGACACACACCTTCTTCTTGCCATTACAATACATCCTGGCTCCACCCCTGGGCCAGTGCAGCACTCACACCCAATCCAAGTGCTAGACAATGGACCAATCACAAATGCATAATGCAAAGGCCTGAGGCTTGAGGGCCACTGACATAAACTATGACACATGTCCTAACATGTGAAATGGAAATGATAGTATAATCATCACTTAGCATCTAA